GTGCCTGCTTGTCCGGTAGAAAAAGAGGTCCGGTGCTATATTGGTGAATTAAGACCGTTATTTAACACTACTATCGCCTAAGCGATAACCTAATTAGTGGAACAAAGTTATTACCGGCCGGAGCTAGGCTAAATGTAGGTGGGGTGGTAGGAAGAGAAAAGGGGGGTGGTGCGGAGAGAAAGGGGGGGTGGTAATTAAGCTCGTCCTAGATTAAACCTTGCCTGTTCTTCTAATTGCTGCTTATTAACCAAGGCGTATTTCTACAGTTATCTGGACTGGTGAAGCCGTTCGTGGATGTTTCTACAAGAGCCGATTTGTCGGCGTGAACCAGCTTCCTGCTTTGTCCCAGTCGTAAGGCTGCAAGCACCTCCGTTACCTGAGGGCGTACTCATGAGCTAGACAAGGCGACGTCGGTCCTTGCGCTTGCGGCAACTGGTGGGGATGCGGTTCCTTGAGTCCTGGATGTAGGCATGGCTCCTGGCGGATTCACCTTGGCCGTGCTAAAAAGGCACCCCAAAGCGACGGTGCGAGGAATCACTTTGCCACCAGAAATAGGAGGCTTGGAGGTCACACTGCCAAGTTGGAGACGGAACGAAAAGGTCCATATAGAGTTTCTTGACGTCACGATGCTCGCGGACGAGATGGGAGCTCCAGCAATATCCATACCGGTTACGCACGCAGACTTAGCGAACTTCTCCTCGCATAGGCCGTTCCTCGGCAAGGAGTTCGACCTCGTGTTCTGCGGCGCTGCGGTGCTCCGCACGCATTCTCGGGCTGCGTACCGCGAGTCCCGTGAGCGGCTCCGTCTCACAACAAGCTAGTTGGTAGTGGCGCTTCAGCGTGTTCGCGAGGGGGGAATCACTGGTCGTACTGTTGCACATGCCAGAGGCATGGAATAACGTCGAACTAATCAACGCGTTCACGCGCTTCTCAAATGTGTACCTCTTTAAACCTAAGCAGAAGCACGCCACCCGCTCGTCCTTCTACTTGGTAGCAACCAAGGTGCGCCCGCGAGGTGCGGGCGCCCTATGGCCTATCTGTAAATAGAAGGGCCAGTGGGAAATTGCTACATTCGGGACCGATGACGCCTTGAAGGCTTGCCTCTATGCGTCGGAAGACTGTGTTCTGACGGACTTTGGGTCGTAACTTATTGCTCTTACCACACCGATCTAGAAGATCCAGGCCGGTCGTCTGCGGGCCAGCCCATTTCTGAAGAAAAAAGGAAGCCGACGAGGAGGAGAAAATGGTAATGGCGAAGATCGATAGTTGAAGAAGTGTGTTTGAAATTCTACTAGGGACGAGATAAAATGAATACGGCTTGATAAGGTTGCAAGAGAGACGCCGACCCAGCAATAAAAGAAGAAGTACGACACACAATTAAATATCTTCCGAATCCCCTTTTTGATTATTATTGTGGATCCCTCTGAGCTATCTCCTTCAACACCACGTAATCACGTGAAATGTTCAATGCATCATCATTCAAGCTCGAGGTCGTGCCAACGCCATTCAAGACCGCACGCATCCTGCCATGAACACCAAATGACGCCGGCGACTGACCTTGTAGCTCAACCCAGAATAGCGATGTGACGTTTTCTAGAAACCGAGAAGACTGGACGGACGTGTTCGCTCTCCGCGAGAGAAAGAAGTCGCAGGTATCGAATGGAACGCGGGGCATCAGTCAACAGTCACCAAGAAACTCCCCAATTCTCATTCATTCTCACACGTCCTCCATATCCAGAAGTCGAGACAAGCTTCAAGGAAATCGCGAGCACGGTCCATAATGCTTCGGCGAACGTTGCGGCCCGTGTCGAAACACGTTGTGGGGGTCTGGAGATCCCGTTTCAAGTTCCCGCTGTGGCGCCTAGGATGTGCATAGCCGAGTGTGGATTCCGTTTTGGTTCCTGTGGTGGAGCATGCTCCCGGAGCCAGGTTTCGGACCCCGATGATAATCGGCGTCGAGCGGGCATGCGACAAGGCTGTAGAAAGCTTGGCATCACTTTTGCCGTGGTAGAAGAAAGACTTTAAAGTGGGCATTGTTGCCACTGAGTGGAGGTAGAAAATTGCCACCACAGACAGGGAGTTTGGCGTTAAATCTTTTGGGTGTGAATGAAGAGGGAGGTTGGAGTGTGCCAATAATGGTATATAATATCACGCAGGACGATAGGAGCCAAGAGATTTCAAGCGCAGTCTCTCATCACGACTAGATCGGATCTCTAGAGAGGAATCTAGCACTAGGCACCCGGGACAGGGCCCGCGGGAACCAAAACGGGACCCATGGCTAGCCAAGCAGCTCGGACCAGATCTCGCATTGGAGGAACTGTGGCAGATGTGGCAGTGCTTAACCGCCACAACGCCACAATTATGCCAGTTGCTGCTAACGCCAACCACAGCGGCCCACGTTGTTCTCCTTTCTCTAATCTCTAAACTCAAAAACTTAGAGCTTCACAAGTGAGAGGGTGCCACCTTAGTAAATATTTATTAGGAAATGATGTTGACTGGTAGCAGCACATTCCGCCATCACGTGTCTAGTCTTTTTAGCCTGCGTCGGCGGATGACTTTCGACGGCCCACCAACAGTTTGTTTAAAATTAGGGAAGAGTTCTTGAGGCTTCTAAGGAAAGAGTCTAGCGCAAGGAGAGCGCCAGCGTCCAGAGGGAGCCAGAACGGGACCCATGACGCTAGCGCATTAGAATCGCCGGCGCAAGGTGAGCGCTAGCGTCCAAAGCGAGTTAGAACGGGCCCCATGGTGCTAGCGCATCAGAATCGTCAGCGAAGTGGTAACGCCAGCGTCCTGAGGGAGCTAGAGGAGCCAAAGCCCCATAACGCTAGCGCATCAGAATCCCTGGCGTAACGGCAGCGCCAGCGGACCGAGAACGTCAGCATAACGTCAATCCAGGTTAGTGCGGCAAGACCCCGCACGTCTCAGGTGTGGCTGATTGTGTAATTTAAACTGTATTATTGAGATCGTCTAGGATGTGGCTGCCGGGGCTGTGGCTGCGCACAGTCGCTGGCAAGGTAGCGCCCAATTAGCGCCAATGTGCCTAAAAATCGCCAGCGGATCTGTGTTTCGCGCGTCGTGCGACATATGCCTTTCCCCACCGCTGCCTCCTTTACAGCTTGCTTTGCCCGCGTCTCGACGATGTCCTCGTAGCTTGTCAACCTCGCCTTGCCGACCACCTTCGACCTAGTCATCTAGCGACGACTGCTTCTGTTGTTGTACGGGTTTGACGCTAGCACGGCGTCCGCAGCAAGGCGCAGGTCTGTTATGGCCTTTGCTCGTTGCTTTCAATAACCGGAAGATTCAGCGTGTGCTTTGTGAACGTACACACCCCCTAAGGCACGAATTGCAATGGCGAGTCTCCAAGCGGCGGCATATGATGGGAGCAAAGAGACGGTAGAGACGCTCCTCAAGGCCGGCGCAGACGTCAACGCCCAAGGCGGA